CTCACACCCACACCGGATCCTCATGCTGAGCCAGCATGACCCCGAGCACTTCAACTCTGACGGGAGCCTGAGAGTGTGTCCTCTGCTCCACGTTGGAACAAGTGCTCCCAGACGTTTCTGTCTTTCAGCCTCCAACAACAAAGCTCTCTGAGCTGGGTGGTGAATAAGCAGCTGAAGAGTCTCATAGTTTTCTAATGTTGATGGTCATGAAGCAGCATCACTTGAAAATCAGAATACAGAACTCGTGTCCAAGCTGTGCACAACCACAAAGGACTCTGTGGGAAAATAAGGAGACACCAGCATGTGTCTGCTGATCCTCTGCGGGTCTAACCTTGGTATCAGGTGGAAACCAAGGACTCCAGATGAAGATGGCAACCTAGAGGACAATGGCAGCTGTCTCCAAGGTCACCACTATGCAATATTTCATTCAATGCCAAGATAGCACAACTAGAAAGGGAAGCCAAGAGACACCAAATCCCTGCACTCGCCAGGAAGGACAGGGAGGGAGCCTGCTTGCTGCCACGTTTAGTCTGAAACCACTGACAGGGCTTCCTCTGCCAGACTGCACGTGAGGCACCCTGCACACTCCTTACCAGTGGGACAACCACAGCTGGGGAACTTTTTCAGTTAAAGTCTTTAAAAGTTGCCCTAAATTTACACAGTTAATGAAAAATTGTTATTTTTTAAAAATCTACTGAACCTTAGTGAGAGGAGTGGGAGTCCGTGTGGTACCTGAGCCATGACTTTCTTCTCCCCTCCCCAGTGCACCTTCAGCTCCGCTGGAAGGAAACCCCATTCTGGGCACATGTGGCCGAGCAGACGGGGCCCCTCTCCCCTGAGTTTCCGTAGAGCTCAGTGCTTCACAAACGGTGGGGGGGGGCAGCATTTCTCACCCCTCCCAGTCTGAGCTGCAGGACGAGTCCAGTGAGTGAAGCCAGCAGCTCTCTGCTGGGCTCTGCAACATAGTGAACCCTATGAGGGGCAGCTAAAACAACACTTAGAGGAAAATTTGTAGATGGATATTCATATGGAGCTACACTGAATAGAGAGCAATGATCTCAAACCAGTAACCTACTCTTCCACATTAAAGAGTGATTGAGGCAGCAGTCTATACCTAAAACAGTCACAAGAACAATATAGTAAAGAGTAGCATGGAAATTAATGGACTAGAGAATAGAAACACACTACAGAAAACCAGCAGAACCAAAGCTAGGTCCTTTGGAAATATCAACAAATTGACAGATCTTCAGCTAGTATGACTAAAAACAGATAGAGAATTACTAAATCAGGAATAAAAAGGGGGATATTATTACTGAGTTTATCAAAATATAACAATTATAAAGAAATATCATAAACAATTTTATGCCCCTCAAATTAGATAGCACAGATGAAATGGAAAAATATTCATGAACTACCAAAATTGGCTCAAGGAAAAAATAGAACATCTAAATAGACCTATAATACATATAAAAAGATTAAATTACTAATAAAAAATATTACCTACCAAGAAAAACCCAGGCCTAGATGGCTTCCATACACAGATAATATATCTCCTATGACTGTGGATGGAAAAATCCTTCACAAAATAACCCCCCAAAAAAAAGAATCCAGCAATATGTAAAAAAAGCATATACACCATGACCAAGTAGAATCTATCCCAAGAATGCAATACTGGGTTCACATCCAGAAATCAATCAGTGTAATTAACCATTACCAACGGAATAGAGAAGAAAAATGCATGATAATCTTCTAGATTTAGAAAAGCACTTGACAAAACTGAGCACCCTTTCAAAATAAAAACACGCAATAATCTATGAAGAGAGAGAAACTTCCACAATCTGCTAAAAGGCATCTATAAGAATCCCACAGCTGGTACCTACTCAGTGATGACAGAGGGAAAGCTCTCCCGGAAGATCAGGAATAAGACAGAGAGGCCTGCTCCTGCCACTGCATTCCCACTCTGCACAGCAGGGTCTGACCAGGGCCATCAGGCAGAAAAGACACTGTTCCAGACGAGAAGGGGTCAGCATCCCTCAGTCAGTCCAAGGGATGCATCACATTCACAATGTAAGAGATAAAAGTTATTTCATCATCTCAATAAATAAAGAAAAAACGTTGCACAAAATCCAACATCCTTTCATAATAAAAACTCTTAACACGCTGGGCACAAAGGAAATGTACCTCCACATAAGAAAGTCCATATGTGACAAGCCTACAGCTAAGATCATTGTAAGTAAAAAGCTGAAAGCTTTTCTTCCAAGTTCAGGAACAATACAAGGATGCCCACTCTCACCACTTTTCTTCCACATGCTACTGGAAGTCCTGGTCAGAGCAATTAGGCATGAGGAAAATAAAAGGCATCCAAACCAAAGACAAAAAAGTCAAATGGTCTGTATTTGCAAATGACATAATGTTATATAGAGAAAATCCTAATGAATCCACCAAAAAATACTGTGAGAAATAATAAGCACATTCAGTAAATTTGCAGGATACAAAATCAGTATACAAATGCAAAAATTCAGTTGCATTTTCATACACTAATAATGATTTATCAGAGACAGAAATTAAGAAAATAATCCCACATACAAATATCATAAAAATAAAATACCAAGAAGTAAATTTAAGTTGAAAGAGGAGTTGAAAGACTGGTATATTGAAAACTATTAGATATTGATAAAAGAAATTGAAGAAGACACAGGTAAATGGAAAACTATTTTGTGCTTATGGATTGGAAGAATTAATATTTTTCAAATGTCCACACGACTCAGAACAATCTACAGATTCAACACAATTCCTGTCAAAATTCCAATGGCATTTTCCACAGAAATAGAAAATCCTAAAATTTCCTATAGAAACTCAAAAGATCCTAAATAGCCCAAGCAGCCTTAAGACAGAATAAGAAAGCTAGAGGTATCACATATCCTGGTTGCAAACTATATTACAAACTTATACTAATCAAAACATGATGCTATTGTCACAAAAACAGATACATACATCAACAGGGGGAAAAACAGAGACCCAGGAATCAATGGTCAATTAATTCACAACAAATGAGTCAAGAACATACAATGGGAAAAGGAGAGTCTCTTCAATGAACGGTGCTGTGAAATGGGACAACCATGTGAAAAAGAAGAAAGCTGGACTCCACTCTGACACCATACACAAAAATCAACTCCAATGGACTAAGGTCTGAAAATATGACCTGAAACTATAAACCTCCTAAGAGAAAACAAAGGGTGTAAGCTCCTTGACATCAGTCCTGGTCATCATTGTTCGGATCTGACCCCAAAAGCAAGGAAACAGAAGCAAAAATAAGTAAGTGGGACAACATCAAATTAATAAGCTTCTGCAGAGCAAAGGAAGGTACCCACACAATGAAAAGACAATCTACAGAATGGGAGAAAATATTTGCCAGTCATGTTATCTGATCCGGGATTAACATGCAAAATATATGGGAACCCCTATACCTCAGTAGCAGAAACCAAACAATCCCTTTTTTAAAAATGGGCAGACAGACTGAATAGACATCTTTTCAAAAAAGACATGTAAATGGCCAACATAACATGCTGCCCGACATCACTAACAATCAGGGAAATGCGAATCAAAACCACAATGAGATAGCACCTCACTCCTGTTAGAATGCCTATTGTCAAAAACACAAGAAATAACAAATGTTGGTGAGGATGTGGGGGGGAGGGAACTCTTGTGCACTGTCCATGGGAATGGAAAGGGGGATGGGCACTCTGGAAAACAGCACGGAGAGTCACCACAAAACTGACAATGGCACCACCACCTGGTCCACACGGACGCCATCCACAGGGAGCAAGCACAGGACCCCACAGAGGCCTCAGCACCTCCCTGCTCACTGCAGCGCTACTCACAGCAGCCGAGTGTGGGAGCCACCTAAGGTCCTGTGTAGGGTCCCATGGACAAAGGTCACATGAGGGGTATGAGGGACAGAGTGTGCAGGAGGGGGCAGAAGTGGGTTTAGGGTGGTGAGTAAAAAACAGTAATTAATAAATAATGACACAAGATTAACCTCTATTTTTCGTACTCACAAAAAAGTAAACCTACTTCTGCCCACCCGTGTATGCGTGTGTGTGTTTTCAGCCATGAGAATCGGAAGGACATCATTCCACTTGCAGATGGACCTGGAGGGCATTTGCTAACTGATGTAATTGGAAGGACATCTTTCCACTTGCAGATGGACCTGGAGGGCATTTGCTAACTGATGTTACTCGGACACGGTAATAAACACTGTTTGGTATCACTATCAATGCGGGATTTTAAAAACCCAGACTCTCAGAGAGGAGAGCAGTCTGGCCTTTAGCAAGGGCAGGTGGATGAAGAATGGGGGTCGGTGGTCAAACTACACTACAGCCACTTAGCGATGAGTTAGCTCTGGGGATGAAATGCACCGCATGGTGACTGGAGCTAATGACACTGTGTTCTGTCCCTGGAAGTTGCTAGGAGAGCAGATCTTCAGTGTTGTCACCACAGAACAGAAACAGGAATCATGGGAAGTGGTGCAGGTGGTAGCACCCCAACGGTCACTATGGTGGTGATTGTCTTTGCAGACAGGTAAATGCTCAAACCAGCACACTCTGTACTTTAAACTTCCACAACATTACATGTCAATCACATCTCAGTAGAGCTGGGGGGAGTGGGGGGGACAGTAGGTGGGTTCAGTGGGTGTTGGGTTCTTCATTAGAAATGACGAGCTGGCAAAAAATGGACTGATTTCAGACCCCAGCCCATGATCTTCAGATGAAGTCAAAGCCCTCACCATCTATGGGCAATGTCACCTCCAGGGAGTCTCAGTGAGTCAGACCCTGTCACATGTTGTCCCTGACCTGCCCAGGCCCAGGCCCTGAACCCCCATAACCCCGGGGCAGCCTTCCTCCCTCTACACCAAAGCTGTCTGCTTCCTCACCTTCCTCAGATCTCCTGGCCCCCTGGCAGCAGACACCTGCAGAGGGGCTGGGGTGGTTCTGGGTGGGAGTGCTCCTCCCCTCCCTGCAGCACTGTGCTGGACGCTCAGAAAAGCCTTCCTTTCTGTTGAGAATCCAGAGACCCTGCCCAGGGCCTTCCTGGCAGACAGGGTCGCCATTGTGGCACTGGCCCAAGGAAGGAGGCTCTGGAGAGGGCATTTTATAGGAAAATGTCTAGCGAGCACAGTAGTTAAGACTTGTGGTCAAGGCTAGAAGTGAATACAGGCCTCAGAACCTTACATGCTCTTGTCCCCTGAGGTTACTGCCCCTGGGGGAACAAGCTGTTGGTGTCACAGGGACTTTCAGAGAACACCACCGTGGACCACAGCGTAATTTCCCAGTGGAAACTCAGCATCCCCACTCCCTCAGTTAGGAGTGTTCCTGTCTCTTTAAGTTGTCACCCCGGGCCCCACCCCCCACCCCACGCCTGGGCTTCCTGCTCTCTGAGATCTGAGAGGCAGGACACTTCCACTGGTACCAGGAGGAACAGCCTGCTGCACTGAAACAGGAGGACAGCCGTTGGTCTGTTGGTCCGGCACTTCTTGGACTGTTGTCTACCTGCAGGAAAGGTGAGCCCCCAGGAAGATGGTGCCCCAGGGGAGGAGGGCTGTGAGGATGGGGAGGAATCCAGTGTGGGCAGGAGGCTCCCTGAGTGAGTGGCTCTGGGCCAGAGGGCAGTGGGAAGGGGCTCGGGACCCAGAGGGAGACATTCAGGATGCCCTGAGTCCCACACAGAGCAGGTTATGGCTGCAGCTCCCCCAGCCCAGATGCCCACAGGACCAACCCTCTCCCAAGAGCTCCCTTGCCAAGGAGGGAGGGGTCGGCTCGCTCTCCTACAGGAACCAAACCTCCCTTTAGAGGGCAGCACACTCTCCCCACGTGCGTATTCGCATGGGCAAGAGATTTCTGAGGACAGGGCAGCAAGTCTGCCCTGAGAACAGGAGACAAACGGACAGTAGTGTGGGCCCCCGGACTGAACCGCCCAAAACACTGCACTCTGCTCCCAGTTGTCCACACAGGGTCTTGCTGGAGGAGGCAGCCAAGGTCGTGAACTTGGTCTTCACACCCTTATCCTAACTCTGCCCTTAGACACTGCTCCCAACCCGAGCTGCCAGGGTGTGTGGCAGCTGAGCCCCTGAGCTCCCCCCGCTCCCAGCAGGACGAGGGGCTGGACTGGGGAGACTGACCCAGAGACCCAGGTCCAGACTGAGCACCTTGGAATCACTGGTGGGTGGGGGCGCGGGGCTGCTTATGTTCTGACAGTACTGACATGTGAACCAAACCCGCTGAGAAATGCACCTTTCCCAGAGTCCCCTCGATAATGCCCAAACACGGGGGGTCAGAAGCCCTGGACCAGGTGAGCACACCTGCCCCGAGGAGGTCTGACACACAGGGCCCTGCGTGCTTTCCGTTCTCCAGGGACCCCGTGTGTCCTGCAGCCCAGAAGTCGGGTGTCTGGAACCACAGAAAACTTTCCAAATCCCACCTCAGACTCTGGGAAGTTCTGAAGGGCCCACCCTCGGGTCCTGGGTGGTCCCTGTACCTTCTCTTCTCCTTCTTGGACCAGGACCCTTTGGTTTCACTAAATTTCCTGGTCTTTGCTCTGAATCTGTGGCTCTTTCTCCAGGTCTGCTCTGCTGCCATCCATGGGAGTGTGTTGATTCATAAGGTGGGGCTGGGAGGGTGGTGATGTGAACAGTAGTGTAGACTTGGAGGGGGGCAGGGAGCCATGCACTGGCAGAAATGCCAATGCCTTTGGACTGAGGACCACTAGCCTGGCATCAGAGTCCTTTCCCCAGAGACAAGGTGTCCAGCCTGCCTCCATCTTGGCCTTTCCTTAGGTGGCTCCACCAGGAGTGAACGCAGTCACCTGCAGTCACCAGGTGGAATTAGACATGGACCATGCAGCGAGGACAGGGCTCAGACAGGGTGTGGGGGAGGCTGAAGGGCCACAATTCTGAGAACAAAAGGAGGCGGGGGAAAAGACCTGACATCTGCTCTCTTGGCGGGGGGGGGCAACCCAGTGAGGGGGTCACTGACCTGAGGCTGGACAGGACACTGAGGACAGAGGGGGCGCTGTGCTCAGAGACTCGGTGATCACAGAAGGTTCCATCGTGTTACTGATGCCTGAGTGGCTGGAACCACCTGACTTGGAGAAGCCACGTCTTTGGGGGCAGAAGGTCAGGAGTCAGAGGCCAGTGGCCCAGCTCTCAGGGACACCGATCCCATCAGACACACTGAGGCAGGACAAGGATTCGACTCCCCAGAGTCACAGGCTCTCCAGGCCACCTGGGACATACAATTCTTCTCCGGTTTCCATAACTCCAATTCCAATTCCCATCCTGTGTGTCTCCCAGCCAACCCCACTAAGTGGTTCCCACAGTCACTGAGCCTCTCGTCTGGTCTCCCAGTTTCCCAGAGACTCCTGGGAAAATGTAGCATCCACAGCTTTGGTCCCCAACACAGAGCTACCTGGGAGAAATTAGCATCTGAAACCTGGTCACTGACCTGAGTCGTCACTGTCACAACCTCCCCTCAGCCTTTCGCCCTCGTCAGCCCTGAACAGACAGGCCGAGCTCAGCAAACCTCTCCCAGCGTCAGCCCCCCTGCCCGGCCCTTCCAGTGTTGCTCCCTCAGGTCCCATGTTCGGGGTGGGGGGGGCGGGGACCACGACTGTGTCACTGTGCTGTCAGCAGCTCTTGGGGGTAGTTGTACCACTTTAATGAACCAATTGTGTTTGGGACTCTTCCAGCTAAGCATGGGAGGACGGAAGGAGGCACAAGATAAGAAAAAGGCCCAGGGTAAGAGCACGTCTCTCACTGGGAACTTGCCCCCAGGTATGAGCTCTGGGTGATGATGGAAATGGGAAACCTCAGGGCTGAACCGGCAGGCCCTGAAGGGCACCCTGAGGTGTCAGGGGCGACACAGCAAGAGTCCTGCCACATGCACTGTAGCTGCGTCCCTGCTCCTGCCCCTGCCCAGCTGGGAGGCACTAACTTCTTTCATGGCCTGAGCCACCACCCACCAGTGCCAAAGTGTAAGATGCGGACACCAACCCCACCTGACCCCACAGAGGAGGGTGGAGAGGGCATCAGCTCCTGCACTGGAGGGGGTCACGCACCAGGCAGAGGGTTAGAGGCCCAGGGTGGAGGGGCAGACAGGTGTCTTATTAGTAGGCAGCAGGGTTCAGAGAGAGGGATGGGGAGAGGGGGAGAGGAGGGAGAGAGGGAGAGGAGGAGGAGGAAAGAAGTGATGTCATCTAACCCCCAACACCCCCAGGAGGAAACACCACACTATTATTCCCAATTTTGCACAAAGCTTTAACACTCAGATGAAGCAACTTCCAGGGTGACACAGCCGGCCCATGGCGGGCCTGTGAGGCAAGCCCGGGGTGTCTGGGACTCCACACAGCCCTTCACGCCCAGGCCCACTGCCCGCTGCTGCCCTCTTCCCTGGGCTGGACCCTGGGGGACTGTGGCAGAGGCCACTGATGCTGCCCAGCAGGGACAGCTCTCCACCATGGGGATGACCAGGGCTGATGCAGGGGAGGCTGAGCCTGGGACTAGAGAGGGACGCTCTCTAGAGGAATGCCCACCAGGTGTTGAGCATCTACAGGTGCTCATGGTGAAGCTGAGAGGACAGGGGTGGATGGTGAAGGTGCCCTGGGGCAGGGACAGCTCTGACCGATGACCACAGTAAGGGTTTGCTTGGACAGCAGAGATGAAACCCTGTTGTTCTCCTTTGTTACAAGGGCTCTGGGGGTTGGGGGTGGGGGAACCAGGTAACCAGGATACCTAGTTGCTTTAGGGTCCTGAAGCTCACAGACCACCTGTCCTCCAGGTTCTGAAGACAGCACGTGGGGCCTGCAGGAGCGGAAGCTGAGGCTCATCCTGGCAGGGAGGACAGGGGCGGGGAAGAGTGCCACTGGGAACAGCATCCTGGGCAAAGGGGTCTTCGTTTCCAGGCTCGAAGCCACCTCAGTGACCACAACGTGTGAGGTGGGGAGATGCAGTTGGGGTGAGTTGCAGGTGGAAGTCATGGACACCCCGGACATTTTCAGCTCCCAAGTCCCCAAGACAGATCCGGGATTCCAGGAGCGGGCGCGCTGCTACGTGCTGTCGGCACCAGGGCCCCACGCAGTGATCCTGGTGACTCAGCTGGGCCGCTTCACGGCCCAAGACCAGCAGGCCCTGAGCGCGCTCAAGGACCTGTTCGGGGACCGCGTGACGGCGCGCACCATCGTGCTGTTCACACGCAAGGAGGACCTGGCCGGGGGCTCGGTGCAGGAGTTCGTGCGTGACACGGACAACCGCGCACTGCAGAAACTGGTAGCCGAGTGCGGGGGCCGCGTGTGCGCCTTCAACAACCGGGCGGTGGGCACGGAGCAGGAAGCCCAGGTGAAGGAGCTGCAGGGGCTGGTGAAGCGCCTGGTGAGGGCGCCCACTCCGGTGCCCCCTTCACCAACAAGGTGTATGGCCTGGCACAGAACCTCGCCAGGAAAAACATGGACCAGGAGGAGCAGGAGCGCAGGGTGGCCAAGAAACTGCAGGACCGCCAGCAGGCCTGGTGGAGACGGTTGTTCAGGGGGCTGGGTGGCAGACAGAGAAGATGATCCGGGCCCTGCTGCTGGGCCCCCTGGTCAAGGTCTGGCTGCTGCTCACCAGACACCAGCCTGAGGCCCAGGTTGGTCCTGAGTGACAGGCTGTAAACAGGACTGTGACCGGCCAGCTGACAGTCATACTCATCTCTGCTGTCTGTGCCTCCAGGGTCTGCAGGCTTTGCTTGCATCCCTCACCTGGCAATAATCTACCAACGACAAGGTCCTACCAGGGTCCACGGCCCACTGCCTCGAAAAACACCTCCCCGCATCCATGCCCCTGTGACCTGGCCTCTCTGGGCTCCTTTCCTACTTCAGCCAAGTAACTGTTGTTGCTTTTCCTGGTTTCCACTGACCTCAGGCTGTGTCCCCTGTCACTGAATCAGCCCCAGTGTCCCCACCAGACCAAGCATGGGAACCCACACAAACCCTCAGCCCATTCCCATTTGTTTCAGTTGACCATGAATTGAGTGAATAAATGCACTGGAAGTTCACCTCATGTTGTCTGACATCAGTATTTGTAGGTGTCAGTTCATCCGCCTGACACTCACATTGAACAAAGGCACTGCTCTGTCATCCCCACCCCCACCTGCAAAACCACGCTCACATCCAAGTGCAGAAAGACACACACACCCACTAGGGTGTGTGCCCACAGGAAGAGAAGACCCTGAAGAACTGTCCCTCTGTCACTGCAGGGGACATCTCCCCGGGGGAGTCTGTGTCACTATCAGACCCCTTAGCAGCCTGAATGCAGAGGCTGCTGAAGCCCAAGGGAAACTTGAACTACAGACTCAAGTCCCTGGGAGCCACAGAGGCCCTGAGGAGAGTCTGCTTCCCCAGAGGACTTTTCTCACTGGCTGGCATACTCATAGGGTGGGGTGTGCTTTCCAACTCTGGGGTAAAGCCAAAAGAATTAAGAGGGTTGGAGATTTTTATTCCAATCTCATAATCAAGGGCAGACAGGCCTTGGTGGGCTGAGCACTGGTGACACCATGGTGGGCAAAGCGTCCTCCATGCTGTGCCATGCAGATCCGGGAGGGTCAGCTCCAGGCCCAGGTAAAATGAGCCAGGTTAGCCAGCTCATCTCTGCACCCACTCTTGCTCTGTCCCCGGGGTCTCCACCCTCACACACAAACTCAAGCTCACCCTGGATCCTGCTGGGTCCCTATGGTGTCCTCTGCCTGGTGCTTCACAGACAGGGAGTCCCAGGTCACTGATGCCCTCACATCACTGAAGGGACATGTCAAAGGGGAAATAATCGGCAACAGCTGAGCATGCAGTGGAGCCAGAGGCCCACATGCCCCACCTGGAACCACTGCAAACACGAACAGGAACCCAACATCGAGGCAGAGACTCGACACTTCCTCTGCTGCCACCATCACTCAGCTTCCAGGGTCCTGCACAGATCCCCACGGGGGCCCTGTTGAGGAATCTGGATTGTGGTCTTGTCCACTTTCCAATATCTTTTCAAAGGAACAAACAGGAAAAGGCTACCATTATCCCTTTGCTGAGATGGGAGATGGTCAATGGTAAACAAATGAGAAAGAAAGAAAAGCAAAGTGTCCAGTGGGAGCAACAAAACACTTGATCCTTGCCTTTTGGTTGGGGAGGGATGAGCCCAGAGGTCCGCCAGGGACAGCAATAGAACTGCTGGGATGCGGGGAGGAGCCCCCAGGGGTTTCCTTACACAGAATACAGTCTGGTCTTGCCTTAATCCAAACCTGACTCTCTTATAGCTGGAGCATTTGATAACTTACATCTAACACAACTACTGATATGGTTGGGTTTCAATTCATCCTTTTGCTACTTGTTTCTGTTGTCCTATCTGTCCTTTGTTTTCCTTTCATCAGCCTTTCTAGTGAACTTTAAAATTTCCCTTTATTTCATCAACTGCTTTATTAGCCAAACCTCATGTCATTTTCCCAGTGGTTGCTCCATGATTGACAGTATGCACCTTTAGCCTACATTCTACCTCCAGTGAACAGTCCATCACAGCACAAGTCCTGTGAGATCTCTGCAACATTCTACCATTGCTTCCTCCCTCCCCATTTAGGCACTATTGTTGTCGTACCTTTTACAGTTGCATAAAATATAACCTCAACCAGCCCTTGAGTGCTGGCCTGAGAAGCAAAGGGTCGCTGGTTCAGTTCCCAGTCAGGGCACGTGCCTGGGTTTCTGGTCAGGTCCCCAGTTGGGGGCATGTGAGAGGCAGCAACACATTCATGTTTCTCTCCTGCTCCTCACCTTACCTTCCCTTCTCTCTAAAATAAATAAATAAAATCTTTTTTACAAAAATACTTTTAAATGGAGAGACAGTAAAAGAAATTATTACTTTGGTCCTGGAAGGTTTTGTTGTCAATTTTTAATAAAAGACCAAAACACTTTTACAGCATACTGAACATGAAAGATCTCACATGAAGGCATCAAACAGTTGCCCATACAAGAAAGACAGTTTTAATAATACGGAACAATAACTGATTTAAAATTTGCAAGGTTTTTTTTTACACTTGACAGTATGTATTTGAATGCTACATATAAAGTTTCAACCATAAACACTGAAAGGCCCAACAAAGAGGGAGGACCCACTGACCAGCGTCCACTGGCAACGTCCAGCGGAACATCAGCTTCCCAACGACGCTGACTCCAGAGCACCTGGTTCTCTCCAGCCACAGAGAAAAAAGAAATAAAACTTCTGGATCTGACTGGTGGCTTCATTGGTTGGAGCATCGTCCTGTACACCAGAAGGTTTTGGGTTTGGTCCCCAGTGGGCACATAGGGGAGGCAACAGATAGATGCTTTCCCCCTCTCTCTCTCCCCCTAACTTCCGCTCTCTCTAAAATCAATAAACACATCATCAGGTAAGGAACTTTTCAAAAAATGCTCTGAATCCTAAGTCACAGAGAGGTAATGGCTGAAACATGCATATAAATTTCCCCTCACTGCTGAGAATCCAACATTGCTGCCTTGAGTCAGGGAAAAAAATTTTAAAAAGATGAAAAATAGCAGGAAGAGGTAAACAATATCCCTTCATTGACTGAAATGAAGGACACAGACAAAGCAAACAACAGCACTGAGGAAATTACATTTTCCCTCTCAGTGCTCTAAGGAGCCCCAGTGCCCCAGGATGCAACTGGACAGGGTGCGTGTCCTGGGGTCCCTATGGGGGTCACACCTGGATTGACCTTCTTCACTTCCTTTGCCCTTCCAAACAGATTCCAGCAGGGATTTGTCTCATTGTAGATTCCTCTTCTCCCAATGTTGTCACTTTTCTCCTCCTCCCTCTGATGTTGACCCCTCCAGACTCCCACAAGCTGTGACGCTGCTCCCAGGGAGGACTTGGGGTGAGTCTGGTGGTCCGGCCCTGCTCCAGCAAGTCTCCATCATATTCCTCCTCTTCCTCCTCTTTCCTCAGAGCAATCCTCTCCCTCCCCACCTGCCACCTGCCAGACCCTCCCAAGTGTTCTTCTTTACAGCTGTAGGGGAAGTGAGATATAAGACATCTGCCCTATAAATATTATTTATATTGTGTGTCTTAAAGAATTCCCAAAATCTATGAAGAACGTTGTAAACTCGGGGAGGAAAATTCAATGCGTGCTATAGGTTTGTTCAACTATTTTGAACCTGTCAGATGAGAAGTTGAATCGCCCTTTGGCACCAGTCCCTCATGGTGGGAGCATCTGCTTCAGACTGCAGGGCAGACCCTGACGGGGACTGATCACCAACAGGCCAATGAAGAACATTCCCTGGCCCCTTCCCTGTGATGCAGAGAACACAGCAGGACCACCTGTGCTGCCACGTGTAGGACAGAGGAGTCAGCACAGCTGGATAGTCCACGTGAGAATTCACTTTCTAGCTGACCTTCCTATGGAAACGTCTCCATCTCATCCAAGACACCCATAGCACTCACCTGTCAGATGCTGGTGTGCTTGGAACAAAGTGTTCATTTTCTTTCCTCCCCAGTTTGTACCAAGTGCCTGGGTGTCCACCAGACCCTCACAGAATATTTCTTCCCTCACCCTTTGGAGAGTTGGTGAACCAATTTGGCTCATGGAATACTTCCCCAGCACCAAGTCCTTGCTGCTCTTAGAAGAACTTTCTGAGCTCCTCCCCCGCTGGTTCTTCCCTCTGGGATCTCAGTCATGTGCCACTGTCCTCTGTCCGTCATGTCCAGGTCACCCAGACCTGCAATTCAGTTCTGTCTCTGGCCCCACAGGAGCAGCACGTATGGAACTTTCTATAGCCTTTAGCTTCATCACTGAGATTTTGGAAGTCACAGGCAGGGGTCCCTCAGGCAGCACCAGGCATTACTGTACCAAGCTGATGGCTTTCCATCTGGAAGGAGGAAGGGCTTATCCTACAACCCAAGAGGGAGAGACACTTCATAAATTATCCCCCTCTGCCAAAGCCAAAGCAGTTGGTATCTTTCAGGATGTGAAATCATTTCTTAATATTATGTTTACTTTTCACAAAGGAATGAGACCATCCTCTCTCCATTTTGGCCAGTGGTGACTGGACCTGGCCTGCACTGTGGTCCCTTGGTTCATTCTCTGGGCAGACCACCGAAATTCCCTTTGGGCGTGTGACCACCAGGACGTGCGGGTTGAACACAGAAATGTGCTTTGGGAAATCTTAGAAATCATTTGGATAGGTGTCCCCAGAAGAGAGGGGATAGATTTCAACTACTGTTATCCATATATTAAAGGGATCTCATTTGTAACCAAGAAATGTGCACAGGTCTCAGAAACCTTGGTTACACATCATTTCTCCAGGCACCTTATGAGCGAATCCAAGAAGAATGTGGTTGTTGATGGGCAGAGGGGTTAAGAACAAGGAGAGACCTCTTAGGGGGTAGACACACCAAGTTCCAAAGTCATCCTGAGCTTTTAGCAAAAAGTGAAATTTATCCCTGTGCTCTTAGAAGTTTTGGTGGTGTTTCCTAAGGTAAAAGATTTCCCATTTTCACAAATATGAGACAAGAGAAAAGTTTTATTATAATAACAGCAAGCAAACAATTCAGGGAGTGGGACAGCAGTGTGCGGACACCCTCCCAGCAGGGAGTCATCAGGGTGCAAGGAGATGGAGGTGAGGTGGCAACAGTTGGCTTCCCAAGAAAAGGAGAGGACTAGTCATTCAGCAACATGCTCTTGTTGAGGGCTGGTCACAGAGTTTCTACATGAACATCTGAATACTCCAAATGATCATCTCTAGCCTGTTCAATTTGTCATTTGTTCTTTCTGGCATTTCACTTCACTGAGTTCTCGGGGATCTGTCTTCAGACAGGTCTTGGTTCTTCAGTGGGCCACGCATGAGGAAGAGTTTGAGTCCTTCCGTAAAAATGTAATTCAACAAATTTATGCTCATCAAGAAAGGATTCTATAAGCATCTCTATCTATAGATTACTTAACACAAAGAATTGATTTCACTAACCACATGAGTAAAATAGCTCTTGAGGTCGTAGAGGCAAGAATAAGGCGTAGAAGCCACAGACAGATTATCTGC